TCTTGGGAAATTTTAATCCTTTTTAGGGCCAATGGGCAACCTACTGTGAAAAAGGGACCCTGCCTAAAATGGTATCACAATGCACCACCTCGTGTCACGCGCGTTAATGTGCATTGCGGTTTGAATGCGAGCCAAAAATACAAAGGCGACACGGTTCCAAAGCCAATACGTTGCACTGCACCCCCACGCATGGCAACGTACGGCCACGTCTTGTGGTGCACTGTGTTGCCAAAAACGGTGCATGGCCGTTTTTCTACGCGCATTCGCACATTTCCAGCCGATTCATTTGAATGGGTTGTCTTAATTAGGGATGCACCGATACCGGTATTTCGGTACCGATATTTTTTTCCAGGTACTCGCCGATACCGAAAGTCCCATTCAGGAAGCCAGGCGGCGTGTAATGACTCGCCACCCGGCTTCCCGATTAGCAAGGAAGCCGTCCCCATGCTTCTCGTCACTATGTGACGAGAAAGCATGGAGCCGACTTGCTGGCCAATCAGAAAGCCGGGCGCTGCATCATTACACGCCACCCGGCTTCCTGATACAGGAAGTATCGGGCTAGGCATTGGAGCATTTGGGCGACTACGAGTCTTAATGCAAAGGAGGTTAACACTTTTTTTAAAGGAGAGCTATGAGGTGATTGCTTTTCACTCACCTCATAGTTCTAGCCGACCTGTGACAATGAGACTGTCACAGGTCGGCTCAGTAGATCGGGAGGTGAGAGAACACATACCGGCGTTCGCTCACCTCCCGATCCTGTCACGGCTCTCTGCTGTGACAGGGGGAGGGACTGGATTCCCAACTCCGATCCGCCAGCGCTGACTGTCGGAATGGACGGGGGAGGGGGGGTGGGTACAGCTGGCTCTGCCTCTAGATAGGCAGAGCCAGCTGTCACTCACGCAGCTGGGCGGATCCAGACATCGATGTCGGCATCCGCTGCGGCTGCGGCGTCTCAGTATACAGCAGCTCGCGGTATACTGAGCCTAGGGTAACGGGAGGACGCTAGTTTGTGTCCTCCCGTTACCCTTAGGAGAACTATGGGGAAAAGCCCTGACCCCATAGTTCTCCTTTAAGTCCTCATGGCAGTTGGACGCGACTACTAAGCAATGATGATGTTACATTGTTCAAGACTACATATCCCATCATGCATTGCTTCCAGCCAGCAGTGATGATGTCGCATTGCTCAGACGTTGAATTGTAGTTCAGAAGCCAGGCTCTGTGGGAGCGGTGACACCAGGGATTGCATATTTACAGGGCTGAGCGACATGGTGTCAGTGCATGAAGGAAGTCCATCCTATGGGGCATCTTCAGTTTACAATCTTCCAGATGGATCTGGTTATCAGGAGCTGGGAGAGAACTTCTGGAAAGTCAATATAGAAATACAGATTTAGTTTTAGTGTTTATATCAGAGATCCTGTTTAATGGTTCGTCGCCGTCACAAAATACCGATACAAATGATCCCATAGAAGAAGTCTGAGTGATGTCATGGCCTGGGGGCGGAGCTTGGCGTTGCACGCACAGGAAGTGACGTTCAATCCTAGGGTGACAACGCTCACTCACTGTGCTGTATCTTCGGAGGAGCAGCGTTGTCACCCTAGGACAGGGGTATGCAAACTCCAGCTGTGGTGCAACTACAAATCCCATGAGGCATTGCAAGACTCTGACAGCCACAGACACGACCCCCAGAGGCTGATGCATGATGGGAGTTGTAGTGTCACCACAGCTGGAATTTGCCCACCCCTGACCTAGGACAAGAAGTGTGTTTGGACTACAGAACACCTCCGGCTCTCCTCATCTCCATACCTTAGGGGAAGGGTTCTCTGTAGTCCAGAGAGAGAGAGAGCTGGGAACAAGGCTAATGGATGACAACCAGCACAGGAACGGATCAGATTTCTGGCAGGATCAAGGTTTTTTTTTTTTTTTACATGTGACCATTGCGGACTTGTGTTGCACGTCGAGGATTCATTTTAGGGCTGCAACAACTAATCGACATAATCGATTATAATCGATTATTGAAAAAGTTGTCAACTTTTTCAATAATCGATTAATCGGCTTCCGATCAGTTGGCCCTGTTCACGGCTCCACACACGCTGCACGCCACACCTCCTCCCCAACTCACGCTCACCGCTGCCAGACCCGCCTGCATCCACGCTCTACACGCCGCACCTCCTTCCCGCCTCACACTCACCTCCCACATCCACGATCGGCACAGGGACGCGGGGAGATGTATTAAGGAGGAGCAGGTGTGGGGGGGATGACAGCGGCAGATAGACAGGCCCGATCTCAGAAACAAGTTGCTGGAAGACTGCTCAGGTATAAGCCGGCACTTTCCCACACGTGGTGCTCTAATGTATTGCTGGGATTTGTATTCCTCTATAGCTGATGGTACATTGTGCTGTATATTATACAGAGGAATACAAATCCCAGCAATACATTATACACTGTATGTATAATATACTATTGCTGGGATTTGTTGTACTCCTCTATAGCTGGTGGTATTCTGCACTGCGCTGTATAGAGGACTACAAATCCCAGCAATAATACATTATACAGTGGTGCAATGCCGAATACCACTAGCTATAGAGGACTACAAAACCCAGCAATAGTACATTATACAGCGCAATGCAGAATACCGCCAGCTATAAGGATTTGTTGTGCTCCTCTATAGCTGGTGATATTCTGCATTGCGCTGTATAATGTACTATTGCTGGGATTTGTAGTCCTCTATAGCCGGTGCCATTCTGCCTTGATTGCTGTATAATTTTACACTTTTCATTTCACTATATTGCCACATATAGTGGCAACCACATCTTTTTTTTTCTTTTTTACTTCCACCGCTCCAAGCTCGCTCCTGTGATGGACTGCAATCTCAATACAAACTAGTAGTCCCATCACTGGAGCCATTTTTTTAAAATGTATTTCATTGTTTATCCGACTAACCGATTAATCAAACTTAATAATCGGCTAACTAATCGATTTTGAAAATAATCGTTAGCTGCAGCTCTAATTCATTTTGCTACCTGGAAGGAATTCGTCTTCTTGTCCCGCCCAATCAGCTGCGGCCAGGGAATTCCCCACCCACAGCTTGACGTACGCCAAGGGGCGGGCGCAGTGATGTCATTGACCTTATATGGCTACACGCCTATGTTAGGTAACTGACATTTATCTTATATGGTCTTGTGGCCATAAAAGGTCAATGACATCAACAGAAGCATCCCGCCCCCTTGTTCATGGTCAGCTAGTGGGCGGGGAAATGCCCCAGCCTGCAGCTGATTAGCCGCAAGGCCCTGTGTAGTTCTTGTGATAGAAGCCAGAACAGGAAGACAGAAGAAATCTTCCAATGGGGACACTTGTGGTAGTGACAACTGTCAGGGGATATCCTCTCATTTTGGAGTGATTTCCTCTCACTTCCTGTTGTGGCTATCGGACAGGAAGTGAAAGGAAATCTCCCCAATGCAATACAGATGGCGAGAAAAATAGCTGACAGGGGTTATAACCCTCCATTCCCCTATATAAAACTAAAATAAAAGTTTTAGCTTTAGTTAGTGTTAGCCGGGCCCATATTTTTGTGTTGGATGGCGCAATGTAGGGTCTTTAATGTGTCCCCCCACCCCACTACTTCCTGGGCCAATGACCACTGCTGGGTGAATCTTCCACAATGAAATAAACGTTTCCAGCCATCCTGAACTCTTCTTCAACGCTTGCCATTGCTGCTGAGGCCCGACAGAGCCAGAGAAGTGGCATTTTCATGGGCAGGTCCTTCTCCCTCCCGCGGCACGGCGCGCTGTGATGTCACGTGTGGTCGACAGAGGGCGCTCAGCTCATTCTGAAGGCGGAACCTTCCTGCCCCGGAACCCTGGCGCTCGGCCTCGGTGCCGCGGGAGGGAGATCGTGGTCACACGGCGCTGTAGGGCCGGCCGGTGGAGACGTCAGAGGCCGGGAATCCCCGGAGATCGGAGCGGACGGAGAAGCCGGGGTAGGGGAAGATGGCGGAGAGCATTGTGAGTGAAGGGGGGAAGGGGAACCGCACCTGCCAGTTTCCCTGTGTCATGTCCGGTGTTGGGGGGGGCCGCTGTCAACGCTCTGTCCCGGCTGGCCTGGAGCTCGGACTTGTTGAGGATAGTCCCTGTAAAGGCCTCTGGCTGTCAGTCACTTTACCATAGAATGGCCCTCAGCCTGGCCCTAGGTGCTGGAGGACTACAACTCCCAGCATGCCTCGCCCCTTGTCCATTGCAGTCTGACTAGTTGGGGAATGCTGGAAGTTGTAGTTCATCTGCAGTGGTAGCTCTGCTGGGGCCATCACTGACTTGCAAAATTTCTGTAGCTGGAAATCAGTAGTAGGGGCTCCCATGTACCCAAAGGACAGGATTCAGTGCTGCACACAGGAAGGGGGGAGCAGTGTACCCAGGGGACATGATTCTGTGTTGCACACAGGAAGGGGGGAGCAGTGAACCCAGGGGACAGGATTCTGTGTTGCACACAGGAAGGGGGGAGCAGGGGACATGATTCTGTATTGCACACAGGAAGGGGGGAGCAGTGTACCCAGGGGACAGGATTCTTTTTAATGGGATATTAGAACAGTCGATAAAGTGTTTTTAAAGCCAAATTTGTCTTGAACTCCCTTTAGTTTATTTTATGCCATCCGTGTCCCATTATCCCATTAGAGGAGATGCCCCCCCCCCCCCCCCCCTTGCGCCTCG